TAAAACTTTTTTTTTCAAGATAGTGGTTGTGGGGAAAGATGGATATTTTTTAATTTTTTTCTTTTTTCTTTGGAAACGGTTAATCTGTTAATCCCCTTCTTGGCTGAATCCATTTCAGTTTCAGACTCATTAATCCTGATTGAATTAATGTCAGAAAATTGAAAAAGATCAATTTTTTTTTGTCTTTTGCTACCAGGGTCAATGTTCGTATTTATGCTCTGGAAATATTCCTATCTTGGAGATTATCTGCTTTTTTTTTTTTTTTTTTTTTATTAGATGCCCAATGTCCTCTTCCTTGTTCTACTTGACATATATTTATAATGGACTAGCAACTGAACCATATTATAGAATGACACGGAAATGAAAAACATATGCCTTCCTGTGTACCGTGTCCCTCATGAAGCTGACACAATCAAGATAAATCTCTTTTAGACAACTTGACTGTTCCAGTGTCATTCTTTGATCTCAGCTCATCAGTGGAAGAAAAAGGATTTAAGATCCGCAGCAAACAGGTCTTTATAGCACTTCTCAAATCAGAATATTTGATGGCATATAACACTATCATTGCAGAGTTTTACTAGGTACAATTTCTGGGAATCTATGGCATTTGGGTAAGCATTAACTGACCATATACATCAATATGGAATAGATAGATTCACCCGTCATCCAGTTCACACTCCTCCCCTGTCTTTTGAACAGGAGTAATGGTTCATTCCTTGTTTCCTGTTTAGGACTGGGTTTCCAGTTCCTTCTAAAGCCTGCTTCAGCTGTATACACCTAATGTTTGTTCTTTTCTATGCTAATATAAATCCACACAATAACCCTCTACCTTGAGTGGCTCTTAGGCTTTGTATTAGGTGAACATTAGTAAAATAACAAAAAAAACATCAATTTCATATTGAAGCTTCTTCTATTTGCATACTTAGAATCAGAAAGTCACAGTTGAAATTTCTGGGAAGCATGATGAGGAAAGAGGGCTTGGAGAATTTAAAACTCATGAGATATATTGAAGGCAGTGAGAATTAGCAAGTAACTTACCTAATGAGCTTGTGGAAATGGATGGAAGAAAGGGAGTGGGAGGTATAGTAAAAAAAGCTAACTCTTCTAAGATATATAAAATATAGGAAGTTATGGAGATCTATGATCGCCCAAATCCAGAATGGACACAGTACATAAATGAAAGAATTACTAGTTTTGCTAGATACAATTTCTGGTAATCTTTAGCATCTGGGTAATTATTAACTGACCAAATATTTTAATTTCTCAGGGACATATTTTTGAGGCATTTTGTGCCAATGGGAGAGGAATCTTATTGGACATCAAATGAACTAAATGATTGAGAATGTTAGAAGCAGATTGAAGAAACGTAGGAAATGAATTCAGTAAATATACAAAAACAGAAAGGAGTATAAGACAAGGATGTGTCTTCTCACCAGACTTATTCAACCTAAACAGTGAGGCAATTCTCAGAGAACTAGCAGTCGTAACAGGATTCATTATTCTCTGCACTGTCCTCAGATTGACACCCAAACACTCTGAAATGTTCATATTGGACTTTCCAGTGCAAATGCCAAGCATGCTGTTTCCAACTTTCTGGAGGAGCGAATTGCATAATGGTGCTCTTTTACTTGCAGATGGTGCCCAACTGACCCTACTTTACTGTGCAGTCAACAAAATCAAAAACAAACAATGCACATGCATGAAATTAAAAATATAAAATTGTGACAATTTACCCATCGCACCCTCTATATGCACATATATATATATATATATATATATATATATGCTACAATTTAAAAGTTTGAAGCCACCCACCAGAATTAGCATGCAATGAACTTGACAGAAGAGTGAGAAAAAAATTAAAAAGAGTTCTCAGAGTCATTCAAAAAAAGAATAGAATCAACTATCAAACTTATTCTTTGAGAAACTTTTGCAATGAATGCCAAAAATTTGTGCTACAGTATCCTCCTTTATCCTTGATGGCTAAAGGATGATATTTTGACAAGAGTAAAATTTAATCTTAAATGCTTTTATTCTTTTTGTCATAATAAAATTTCAAATAAAAAAGACATATCTTACTTTTTTTTTTTAAACATGTATAATAATTTTTTCTTATTTAAAGTACAAAACAACTACTTTTTGGGCCAATTTAAAAAATTACCAGGGCGGGGGTTCACAAACTTTTGAACTGTAGTGTATGTATATAATGGAAACAAAAAGGACACTATCATCATGTTAACTCTATCACTAATATTGAGCACTTTCCAATAAATACTGCACACACACACACATACACACACACATAAAATGAACATTAAAGTCAACACTCAGAGACGACAGACTGTTTCATCCTAGATGCAATCGTCGAGCTGCTAAATGTTCACTTTTATATTTACATACACTCTATCTCTGATATTGAGCACTTTATCCCATAAATATAGCACACCTTAAAACTATACTTCTTCAAATATATATATATATATATATATATATATATATATATAAAAGAAAATGAGATATAAATCTTTATATACCAAAGCAAGTATATAATGGCAAAGACTAAAGTGATATGTACATTGATATAACTATACATGTGTATGGAGGAGTGGGGATGCTGAAATTTTAAACTTTAAACTATTTCTTTTTTAAATAGTGGGTGCAAAACCAGATGTTAAAAGTGGTAGAGGCTAAATCAGATGTTAAAATTCTGATGGAATAAATCAGAGTGGATGGGGGCCTAAATCAAATAGTGAAAGTAGGTTGGGGCTAAATCAGATTTTAAAATGGTTTGGGTTTTAATTGATATGTTAATAATATAGGCTTAAATCATATGGTAAAAATGGTAAGAGCCAAAGTAAGGTAAGGTGGGGCTAAATCAGTTATAATGGGAGGGTAGGGGCTAAATCAGATGTTATAATGGGAGGGTGGGGGCTAAATCAGATGTTATAATGGGAGGGTGGGGGCTAAATCAGATGTTATTATAGAAGGTTGGGGTCTAAATCAGATGTTATAATGGGAGGGTGGGGGCTAAATCAGATGTTACAATAGGCGGGTGGGGTCTAAATCAGATGTTATTATAGAAGGTTGGGGTCTAAATCAGATGTTATAATGGGAGGGTGGGGTCTAAATCAGATGTTATTATAGAAGGTTGGGGTCTAAATCAGATGTTATAATGGGAGGGTGGTGTCTAAATCAGATGTTATTATAGAAGGTTGGGGTCTAAATCAGATGTTATAATAGAAGGGTGGGGCTAAATCAGATGTTACAATAGGCGGGTGGGGTCTAAATCAGATGTTATTATAGAAGGTTGGGGTCTAAATCAGATGTTATTATAGAAGGTTGGGGTATAAATCAGATGTTATAATAGAACGGTGGGGTCTAAATCAGATGTTATAATGGGAGGGTGGGGTCTAAATCAGATGTTATAATGGGAGGGTAGGGTGCAAAATCAGATGTTAAGGGTGGTGGGTGGCTAAATCAGATGTTAAAAGTAGTGTGGGTTAAATCAGATATTAAATTCTGGGGTTAGGACTAAATCATATGTTAAAATGGATGGTGGGTGCTAAAAGAAAATGTTAAAAGATGCTAAAAATGAAGTGTGTTATATCAGAAAGTAGTGGGCAGCTAAATCAGATATTGGGGTCGTCTGTCTAATTATTTAATTTCAAGGGAGCTAAATCAAATCTTAGTAGGGGATCTAAGTCAGAAGCTAAAAGTAGGGTTAGTCAAATCAGATGGTAGAGCTAAATCAGATGGTAAAAGTAAGTGGTTTAAATCAGGTTTCAACATGGGGTGGGGGGTTACTAAATGTTAAATTTCCATGGGCTTACATGTTAAGGAGTAGCGGGTCGGGGGCTAAATCAGATGTCAAAGGTAGGACACCTAAATTAGTCGTTAATATGGGGAGGACTAAATATGATTTTAAAAGTGCTGGGGTCTAAATCAGATGTTAAATAGAGAGAGTGAGAGAGACTTAGATAAATAAAGAGAGAGACTGACTTAAATAGAGAGAGAGGGGAGAGAGAGACTGAGATAAATTGAAAAGGAAGAGAGAAAGACTGATATAAATAGAAAGAGTTTGGTGAAAGAAAGACTGAGATAAACTTAATGAATATAGATATAAATAAGCAGATTGTGCAGCTCACATTTCAGCCATTTTGCTTTTTTTACAGACCAACACCTCCTCACGTGTGGTCAGGCTGTTGGGTGATCACCTCTAGATAGACTACCAACCAAGGCTGAGGAGCTTTTATCTCCTCATTAGCATACCAACTAGTTTTAAATTGAAAACTGTTCTTCTCTTAGACTTTTTTGCCAGTCAAGGCTAGTGGGCTCTGTCTACCCTGCTATTTAATTCATAGCTGAAGGTGTGGAGAAGAAACAGATTTATACCTTTTCTAGGGTTACTTCTGCAAGAATGAACATAAGAAACATGGCTGTAATTTGAACTCTTTTTCCTTGATTTCTCTTTCGAAATTTCTAACCATTGCTGTACCTGCAAATCTAAGATTAAAGAAATACTTGCCAAAAATTGATAATAATGATTTTCTCTTTCTTCATTTGTTTATTTTATTTTTCAAATCTGCTATGTCAAAAGTGGTTTTGAATAAATAACATTTTCAATTTGAGATTAGGGACAATCCTTTTGTCGTCTCTTCCCACCCCTACTTGATTAGTGACAGGTGGACTAATTAAGCTGTGTTACTTTGTATGGTGAACCAAAATGGAAAGGGATTCAGAAATCAAACAAATTCAGATAAGAAAAATATTGGCAGTACTGGAATTACCTGGCTAGTTGAAAAATCAAATGTCAGGTGCTACAACGGATTAAAATGATCGAATATCAATTGGTCCAAAAAAAAAAAAAAAAAAGACAGAAGGGAATCCTGATTTACACAAGAAAAAATCCCTTTAATTTTATTCAACTTTCTCTTAAATGCTGATTCAGACATTGGAAGGTCTCTCTTTTCATTAAGGGGAAAAGATCAAATTAATCAAAC